ACTGACTTGGTGTTGCTTCTTTAGGCAAATTAACACTGTGCTAGTAAGATTTAGTTAGATTTACAGTTCAGGTACCTTCCAGCTCTAGATTTCACATCTCATTACATTCACATCTCATTTTATTGATTATTAAAATATAACAATTTGGTTTTCATTTAGGTAGTAATAGGTTATTTTGTCATTTTAAATTTGCTTTTTAGTTCTTATAGGTAAGAAGTTGAAAGCAACTTAAAGTGTTTATGTGTGTGCATTTTACCAAGTTTAATCCTTGTATTCTTGATCTCTATACATTGGATACTTTGTATATTTTTAGATATTGGTAACTAATTTTTGTAGATCCCCATTATAAATAAGAAGGTACTAGAGGGCAGTGAAAATGTGTCTCTAATTTAGTGGTTCCTTGTTATATTTGGAAGGTGTTTGTTTTTGTAGATGCCTTTTTTTTGGGGGGGGGGTACCAGGAATTGAACTGAGGGGCACTGGACCACTGAGCCACATCCCCAGCCCTATTTTGTATTTTATTTAGAGACAGGGTCTCACTGAGTTGTTAGCACCTCACCATTGCTAGGGCTGGCTTTGAACTTGCAGTCCTGCTGTCTCAGCCTGCCAAGCCGATGGGATTACAGGAATGCACTACCACACCCAGCTGCAGATGTCTTTTAATAGTTGTTGGAAAATAAGCATATCTCTTGAAGGTTTGGATTTAGTAAGCAGTTTTTATAAAGTAATATTAATTTACAAAATATATGTCCTGTCTTTTTTCCTTAGATTGCCTAATTAATATGGTGGTACAGTTATTCTAATTTTACAGAGGAAGAATCCAAAGCTCAAAAAAGTTACTATTTTGCTACAGTAATAGCTAGTAAGATAGAGGTTGAAGTGGACATCATTATTTAATATAATCTCACATCTATTATTCTATTTATGTACTCTATTGCCCTTTAAATATAGACATTTTATTAAATATTATATAAAGTATAAATATTCAAATTCTTTAATATTGATTATATAAACTTTGCCACCCCACTTTTAGTTTTTCATAAAGTGGAAGATGACCTTGGTGATTTTGTTTACTTGTTCCCAAAATCCGCATATAATTGCATACAGTATTGCTCTTGATAATATCTACATTTTGTGATACTTAAGAAGTGGCTTGAGCCGAGCATGGTGGCACATACCTGTAAGGCTAACAGCTGGGAGGCTGAGATAGGAGGATGGCGAATTCAGAGCCAGCCTTAGCAACAGTGAGGTGCTAAGCAACTCAATGAGACCTTGTTTCTAAATAAAATACAAAATAGGGCTGGAGATGTGGCTCAGTGGTTAAGTGCCCCTGGAATCAATTCCCAGTATCCCTTATCCCCACCACCCAAAAAAAAGGGGCTTCAGATTTTGCTACCAAAAAATAAATAAAAGATACCTAGACATGGTAATTTATATACATTTGAAATATTTATTTAAGTCGTGGCTAAGATTAACTATGTTTGGCCTAATACTTCAAATTTCTTTTTTTTTTTTTTTCTTCAGTTCTGGGAATTGAACTCAGGGCCTCGAACATTTTAGGCAAGTGCTTTACCACTGAGCTCTATATTCCCTGTTCAAGTTTCTATTTTGAATTTTTACATTTGTAGTAATAGTCTGTAGAAGTCTTCTTTGTGTTACCATCAACTTACTTTAAAAAATACTAATAAAAGTGAATATAAATTTGATAAGGAATTCATGTTTACCAGTAGATTGGGCATTATTATTTATTAACTCCTGAGCCAGAGTTAAAGGTTAGAAACACAAGTCATCTGTGTCTACCGTTATTTTGATCCACATACTTAATCTGTTTTCTGTTGACAGAGAATAAAAGATTCAGGCTTCTTCCTTTTGATTATATATTATTTTCTGCTTTCTCATTGTGAAAAATGGTAAATTTCTTCTAAGAGAGTAAAGTGGCATATAACAATATTTCAAGTTCATGAAAAACATGGATGTACTATTTATGCTTAACAATTTCTGTGAAATTGTTAATACAAATACAAATGAAGGATACAAATATCCTTCAGTATTTTTTGAAGGATATGAAATAAGTGTATTTGAATATTTCTAAGAAAAGGAAAATAAAACGTTATGTTTTATATAGGTTAACCAGATATCAGCTTTCTTGCTAACAGTTTATATAAAGTGTTACAGCGTTAACTTTTGAAAATTAAAAATATTTCAATAATTTCAAAAAAAGTAAACATATAGTTTTATACCTGTTTTGTACCTTTGTGTAGGTACCAATATCTAATTTAAAAAACTTTCCACATTATACTTCATGAAATATATTCAAGCTTGATTATAAACCTTGAAAAATTAAGTGAAGTACCTCTAATCCAATTAGAATTGGTACATTCTAAGTTTTGGCTGCTCGCTTCAGTGGACATATTTGTGTATAGTTTTTCTTTTCTTTTTTAATATTTTTTTAGTTGTTGAGGGATCTTTATATAATTATATACAGTCTTGAGAATGGAATCCAATGCCTAGCATATGCTAGGCAAGTAGTCTACCACTGAGTTACAACCCCAATCCTGGTTTTTTTTTTTTCAGTTGTAAATAATTCATTAAGAGAGTCACATCATTTCAGATTATATCAAATTATGATTGTTTAGGCAATTAAAAAGTCTGGGTTTTAGATTTGGTTTTAAATAAGAAAATGTGTATCTAGTCTGTACTAAGCAACTTATCCTACCTAGCTACTGTGTTTTATGGCCTGTGGGAGTTTGGTCACCAGGAATACTTGGTTTTTATATTGCTTGATATACTTAACAAATCTAGGTTTTGAGTTTTTCCTCTCAAACTCTATTTGACCATGATAATTTGATTCTAAGCCAGGATTGATTGCTTAATATGCAACTAACAAATATTTTGGCTTCCCTTGAGTTGTTTTTTTTTTTTTTTTAACTACAATGTGTCCGACAGAATTCTGAATTCTGTTTTCATTAAGGATATCTGACTATTTTGATTATGCAATGAAAAATTCTTGTCATGTGAGCAAATGGTATGAATTCATTTATTAAAGTCATTCCAAAAGATTAGGTAGCAAACTATATGAAAGAATTGTAGTGCTTTTTATAAAATGAGAAATAAAAGACTTCAGTTAGAATTGTCAAAATCACTATAAGAGTATAAAGTTGCTCAATGTGACATTTGTTCGTATATTCTACGCTGTTCTGTGAGGGACTTGGGTAATGAAGTGTGGATTTGACTGTCGTTTGCCAGTTGGAAAGACTCCAAAAACAAGGAGGCATTTGTACATGTGCTCATGTTGGCAGAGTTCCCTTTTCTCCTGTTGTCAAAGACCATTTTACTTTACTTGCACAAAGATATGTTTATATCTGTTCTACAGTATAGCATGTGAATAATATATCAATAGTGTATGGAAGAGTCTTTGTTTTACTTTTTACATGACAAAATTATTTTGTTTCAGATATTTACATATTTTTAGTGTTTTTCCTTTTTTTTTTTTTTTTGGTCAGGGGCTTTATACATGAGTACCTCTGGATAATAGTTAAATCATTTATCATTGTCTAACCAAAATGTCAAGGTCAATGAGGTATTTTATATTGGGAGAAAAAGTTGAAAACAATGTTTACTTACCAGTTTATCACTTTGGACATGAGCAATCTGTCACTTTTCTCAATACCCAAAGCAAATTTGAAAATGGGAAATTATGGGTAAAAATTAGTTGTAAAAAATATTCTTTCTGTTTTATAGTTGATAAAAATTTTAATGTAAGGATATTATTATGTCTTGACAAAACTCAGGATAAAATTAATATTGCATCTTAAGAGACACAAAAAGAGCCTCTAACTCTTTAAGTATATGTAGATTGTTCAATTTTTAGCAATGGAAGTAACCACATTTATATTCTTTCCGCAGTGTTTTGTTATGAGGTTATATATATATAATACTGTCTTCACAGTTCACCTTCACTCCCTATAGTGGCCATGTAAACATCTCATAATTTTTCTTTTCCAACCTAAAGAAAAGTTGGAGGCAGAGGAAATGGCTCTAAAACACCTCCCATCTTGTGATCTTATCTAAGAAGTTGTCTAAGATAACACTTCCCATATTTCTTTTCCCCTCCAATGCTCATTTTGTAGTTGGTGCTTAGCAGTAGAAAGTATTTTACATATAAACTACCATTTTACTTGAGTTGAAAATGACTTGTTTATGATTATGGCAGATTTTTCTTTTGATTTAAAACAATATCCATTGGAAAAATCTTGATAAACTTAGGAAAAAAAATAATTTTGAGGCTGAGCCAAGGTGAACAGAAAATGTTGTGGCTGGGGAAAGGAAAACAAGACTAGCCAAAGATGCTTGGAGTGGAGGTAGAATTGATAGGGATCAGTTTGTCCCTTCCTCACCTTGGGATGTAGTTAAAAGCCCAAGAGTCTTTCCCTAAATTCTACCCCTCTTTCTGGATTACCTAAGCCCCCTGCTAAATGCTCTCTAGGGCCAGAACCAGGTACCCTAATTAACTGGTAGGTTTTCTGTCTGGTCTTCCAAAATAAGAGCCTATAGCTCAAGAAACTAATTCTTTAGTTCACTCTTTTTATCAGCATAGCCTAGTACATTGTGCCTGGTAAATAATGGTTGGGAATAGATTTGCACTACTGTCCACTCACTAGAATGATTGGTTGATTTCACTTTCCTGAGTGAAGAAGATGACAGGAAAGTGTAAATACTTTAGATTTGGCGATAAAGACAGTGTCTTGTCTTTGATCTATAAGTTTGGTTTAGAGATTTTGGATAAGCACATCTTGTCAAATCTTATTTTAACTTAAAATAGAAAGTTCATCATTTACATTTTTTCAGGTCCATTGCAATGGTATGAGGTAGAAAAAAAATAAATTTATCTAATGAGCTGTTGACAATAATAAGAAAATTCAGTGATTTCTAGTAGTAATTTCTACTAAGAGGAGGTCATCATTAGAATCTCTTATAATGGTAAGCTAATTCTTTTGTAGAGTTTTCCATCTGATGAAGGTTGGCCATTTGCAAAATATCTTGGGGCTTGTGGAAGAATGGTGGCTGTCAATTATGTTGGAGAAGAACTTTGGAGTTACTTCAACGCACCATGGGAGAAACGAGTTGACCTTGCCTGGCAGTTAATGGAAATAGCTGAGCAGCTTACAAACAATGACTTTGAATTTGCACTCTACCTCCTGGATGTCAGCTTTGACAATTTTGCAGTTGGTCCTCGAGATGGGAAGGTAATCATTGTGGATGCTGAAAATGTTTTGGTTGCTGACAAAAGATTAATTAGACAAAGTAAGTATGTAACTTTTAGATTTGTTTTGTTTATAATTTTTCTGTTGAAACAATGTTTTTACTTATATGAAGCAAGCCTTAAATTTCCTCCTTAGATGGCAACCTTGCATCTTTCTTTACATAACCAATGTCAGCAAACAAATATTAATTTATTTGTTATACTCTTAGTCACAGTTTCCCCATATTTAGTAAATATCTTTAAAGTTTAATATCTATACAAATATTCTTTGTGTGTGTGTGTGTGTGTGTGTGTGTGTGTGTGTGTATGTCTTTTGTGTACAGTGTGCTACCTTCTAAGGTTTAGGAGTCTAATGCAGAATTAAGTTTATTTTGTCAAAATCTACCAGAGAGACTGTCCTACTTTCATGGAGGCCTCATTTTTCTGTGGGGTTCTCTTAAAACAATGGTTTATGTTCTGTTGTTCTTAACCATTTGTGTGATTCCCAATACTGCAACTCTGACTTTAATTTGACATTCTGATTATTACATTTTACCCAGAACTTTGCTCTCCMTTTTATTTGTGAGCTCTCTCTACATGATAGGTTGGCATAATATCTGATCTATTTTGAAAATTAAATGCCATAGGAATTTTAAAGTGTTAAAGTCTATATTTTAGAACCAATTCGGTTAGGAAAAGGAATCAAAGGGTTTCTGGTCCATGGTAAGGATCTTATATTTTAATCCCATATGCTCCCCTGATATATAAGGGATATATGGACCTTCAGATTAATAGAAGTTGCAAATTTATGGCATCTGAAAAATGCAGCTAATACAATAATATTATATTTGGTTATACTAACTTTTTGCATGATTTAGCACAGTACTGTTAAGCACTTGCTTGTTTTAATTGCTTTGATTGTGTGCTCACTAAGCTACTTTTTTTTTATTTCTTAACTTGCTATGAAAATCCTCCTACAGGGAGTGAATGCCCTGTTGGAATGTTGTTGTAGCATCTTACACCAGGCTCTTTTTAAAAATTTTTTATTGTATAATTCACTTATTTTTAATGTGTTCAAAGAGTTGTACAGTTTGCCTGAACTTTTGAAATTTTTATTCCAGTGTTTGTAAAAATAATTTTTTGTATTTTTTGTATTTCATTATATGCAGACATTATATGCAGACATTTCTGGATTAATGGTTTCAGTTTTTAAACCAGCTAATTGCTGACCTTGGATGAATCCAATCATATAACATCTATATTTTTTAAATTTCATATAGTGAACATTTTTCTAGTGCTATTTAAACTCTGGTCAACTCTTCTCAAACGTCTCATAGTTGGACCTTCAATATAGGGTCCTTTTACAGAAGGCCCCTATCTAGTTATTTATCCTCTTCAATCTACTTTCTAATAAATGATCTTTTTTTTTTTAATTAACAGGAAAATTGAAGTTTTGCTGGGGCAACTCCCTCAGTGTCTTTCCATTTATCATATAAACTTAGTTAAAAAAAAATTTCATCTCTTTAAACAATAGTTCTAAAAGAATTTATATTACCTTCACTTCCCACTCCAATTAATATCCAATTTATTTTACCTCCACATAAACAAGTTTGTATGAGAGCCCTTTCTGCTACTTTTTGCTTTTCAGTTGTTTTTTTTTTTTTTTAATTTTGCTGATTTACGTATTTCTACTTCTGTTTCTGTTCATTTCCTTAACCCATTAGAATCTGACTTAGGTATCTTCTTTGCCATTAGCAACTACCTAATAGTAAGTTGAGAAAGTGACTCTTTATTAGTAACAACTTCTTGAAATCCTTTCTTCCTTTGCTGTCTTCTAGAATACCAACTTTTGAAAAACAAATCAGATCTTATCTCTCCATTTTTGTAAATGATCTAATGGCTTCTTATCATGCTTCAAGTAAAATCCAGATTCCTCACCAGGGCACAATCTGTGTGAGTAGGTCCTGTCATGCTTCATTTTTAATATACCTCTTTCTTTTACCTTTGATTCTTCAGGAATTATGGCCTTTTGTTTTCTCAAATGAATCTTTTTACTTCTGGGTTTTCCCAAATGGTTTCATCTGCCTAAATTTCTTTTCTTTTCCACATAAAGCTTGTGACTTGTCCTTCAAACCTTGACTCCATCTAGTACATGGATGCAAACAATATGGGTATTATACCCCTGACCTCATACAGTTCCAGTCTAGTTCTAGTTACATGTGTCACAAGCCCTCCTGAATATCTTATAGCTACTTTGTTTTCTTTCTATTATAGAGAATTGACACTTTATTATCACCTACCTTCTGATCCAGTTAAAACCTTAAACTTAACACATACTCTTACCTGTTAATTACCTGTCAAATAGTTTTCCAAACTGGGCCATCTTTAGTTGCTATCATCATCTTAGTGTCTCTGATCCTTAGCAAGAACTATCTTTCTATAAAACAAGTCATGGTCATGATTGCTCAAGTTACAGTATCTTTCTCCAGCCTCATCTATACTTCCTTTCCAGATACCTGTCTCACACTATATCCACTATAAACTTCTCATAGTTTCCTTGACCAACTGGACCAATCCCTTTAGTATGTGCCTTTGCATATACTGTACCCTGGGCCTAGAATGCTGTTTTCCCTTGTTTCTTTTCAGACTTGTTATCTTTTAAGACCTAAAATAAGATGTTCTCCATGCAGGCAAAAATGCTACATCCTCTCCAGACCTGTAGCATTTTGTCATACTTTGATTCTTTCTATGTATGATGGAAAAATCACTGCACTAAACCTGTGAATGGTAGGAACCTTGTCTGGTTCTCTGTTGACACTGAAGAACTCCTGGTAAATATTGATGTGAATTAATATGTGATTTAAGTATTTAAAATCATAATATACTTCTCCGCCTAATAGTGTAAAGTACATACTTGTATGTTAAATGGTGAAATGTCCTATTTTGGGAAGCAATGAGAACTCTATTTTAAAATGTATTTTTCTCTTTGTTTTTCCATCTTTCACAGATAAACCTGAAAACTGGGATGTATGGTATGAAAGCAAATTTGATGACTGTGATAAGGAGGCTTGCTTATCATTTTCAAAAGAAATTCTTTGTGCCCGTGTTACTGTGGACCACAATTATTATGCTGTTTGTCAAAACCTCTTATCCAGACATGCCACCTGGCGTGGCACTTCTGGAGGACTCCTCCATGACCCACCAAGTGAAATTGCCAAAGATGGCCGCCTCGAGGCCTTACTGGATGAGTGTGCCAACCCAAAGAAGCGCTATGGCAGATTCCAGGCAGCAAAAGAACTGCGGGAATATCTAGCACAATTAAGTAACAATGTGAGGTAGTCTATGGTGAACTTTTTTTTTTTTCTCCTTTCTTCATTTAAACAGCACTGGCAAAACAACCACCAAAAACTATCTGGAAAAATTAAATTTGGAAGTATTACATCAGAGGATGATAAACTTGCACTGATAGATCTTACATTAACATCCATCAAAATAAGACATTACTTCAAAATTCACATGATGCTTCTGCAAATAAGTATGTTCCTATACTTTGGAAACTTGAGGTATCATTGACTGCTTTGTCCCCCTCCCCCCTGCCTGAGTGGATTAATGAATATTGTTAAGCTATTGGAAATGAGTCTGATAGTTATGTTGGCTGTGTATCAAAGGATACTTGGTAACTTAGTTTGCATTACTATCATGATTTTGTGAATCTCTTGCATTTTACTTTGAATGTCAAGTTAGATTGGCCTGTTTTATAGGCCCCTTTTCCTTCTGGTGTATAGGTTGTTGTTTTTTTTTTTTTCTGCCATTTTTATGGGTTTTTAAATTAAATTTACACATTCAGGTTACTGTAGATGTTCATTTAAATTTTAATTAGTGTTCATTCAGTGCTATGCGGTACATATTTACTGTTAGGGCAGGATTCCCAGGTTTACTGTGTTTTTTTCAGAAAGCTGAATATTTTATTATGTAAATAATTTTCCCCTCACCTGTGGTTTTACCATTGCATGATATAATTTCAGGTTATTAAAAGTTACATCCCTCTATGCCAATAATTATAATGTACACTGAACATGAAGTGTAGCATATGTTGCAAAATGTCACACTAAATGGCTTTAACAAGTATATACTATATACTAGCAATCTACACCTTGATGGTAATTTTGGTTCAGAAATAAATAAACCAGTATTTTAAAAAATTCAGCTAGCCCAAGATAGTAATTCATATGCCAAAGAAATTTTAGACTTAGTCCTATGTTTAGAATTTAAAATAGAATTCACCTTCTTAACCTTTCTTATCCAATATCTTAGCTATCATTAAAATCAAATCTCCCTGTTTACTCTCTAATGTTGGCAATTAAACTCCTGCTTTCAAGAATATGTAACTTAAAGATATTCATTGGTAGTTTTGCAGAATTAACATGATAGTCATAATTTGAGTGTAATCAGGTATTAGAATCTTTTATTTATTTATGGACCAGTAATTTTTATCATGAAGCTAGTCTGCCCACTGGGGGCTTCCTCCAATTGCTAAACATCAAAACTCAGTCTGTGGATAAAAACTAACAAATGTGTGAATTTTGTAGTCTATTTAAAAAAAATCTATAAGTTGACTATCACTAACATAAGTAATATTTTTCTGTTTGAAGCAATTTTGTTTACAGCAAAATTTGGCGTAGTATGCAGTAGTTAGTTCTAGACTGACTTTATCTAAGTAAAAAAGTAATTAATTATGCACAACCAAAGCCAAGTTTTGCTTTTTCATTAATTGAGCAACTATTTATTGAACATCAACTCTGTGCCAGGCACATTAGTAGCTGCTATACACCTTCTGAACATAGACATGGTTAAGTAACTTCATCAAGTATTTTAATGTAGGTATTTCTTACATTGTAAAAACATTAATTAGTATGATGCGTTCCCATTATTTGATTATTGTGATAGAAATTCTACTTGCACTACCTAAAATTAGATTGCCACACACACACACACACACACACACACACACACACACACACAGGCAGATGAAATCAATATTTAAATCCAGTTTAAAAACTGAAAGAAAAAGGACAAGAGATCTTCATTTTGAAATAGATTGCATTATGTTAATTTTTATACATCAATACATTGCATAGCTCTCAATGAAATGTCTTAAGTGCTGAAGATATTACTAAGTTGACTTTTTACAACTTTGGAAAGTGTTTGTGGGAATAAGAAAATCTTTTTTCCAACATTCACCTCTTACTCAACATTACAAATAAAATATAAAATTCCAAAACAGAACATCTTTTATATTTGATAAATATTCATTACAAATCTTAGAATGCCAGTTGCAGGGGAGTTGTCTGTGATTTAGTAAACGTTTCTCTTACATTTTGGAGGAGTGAGTGTGGTTGCAGTTGCAGAGTAGTGAGTGAGAGAACACTGCCAGCAGTGATTGCTTTTGAGGTAGTTTCTTACAACTACCATTCCCCTTCATGAGATTATGTGAAATTTCTTTTTATCTTTGGAAAAGATTGAGGAGAAGATAGTAAAAGAATTAGGAATTTTAAATTACAGGGAAAAATATGTATGTGAAAAGCAATAAATATTTTGTTCACTTTGCTATCAAGATGTTCACTATCAGATATTTATTATACAGCAACAATTTATATTTTTAATCATTGCCCATTAATAGACGCAGTAAAATATTTTTGAATCAGACATTTGGGGTTTGTATGTGCATTAAAATTGTCTTTTGTACTGTAAGTTACTGTTTAATTTGAATATTTTATCAGAACTGTCTCCCTGTGCCTTTATAATATAAAGTTGTTTCTACAACTTTTAATGATCTTAATAAAGAATACTTTAAGAATCATACTTTTTCAGACTGTTCAGATTCAAGTTTTTCTTGAGGTTGTTCCTTTTTTTCTCTTGCATGCCTTTTTTTAAAAATAATTTTTTGAAAATCTGGTTGGGTATGAGCCAAATTTAAGGGGTGTATGTACGGTGTGTGTGTGTGTGTGTGCTTAATTTTTCTGTAATAGTGATTTTTTAACTTTTATTAAAATGGAATTTAAGAAAAACTTTTGTGGGAATTTTCAGACGTGTAAAAGAAAACAATGAACAATAAGAATCTGTTATTTCACTAATGTCAACGATTATCAACATGAAAACAAACTCATTTCATCTCTACCCCCAACTTTCTTGCCCTAGCTTACTTTGAAGCAGATGTGAGATATTTCAGTGAGCTATTTCGTTTCATTCATATGTATATGGTAGACATTTTCTCCTCCAACAAAACTGCAATACTGTTTCACACCAAAAAATTTATAGTCATACCTCAATATCACCAAAGCAGGAAATCTCTCAAATACCACTGCTCCAGATCCAATGGGAATGATTCTGACCACTGGCTATATAGAGAGAACAATTTTATGATCAAGAATAATAACTGAAAGGAATTGAAACTTAGAGTGATACTAAAAGCAGCAACCAATACAATAATCAACTTGATCTCCTTTGAAAAATTGTTAAATTGGAGGGAAAAAATTATCCTGCCTTACATCAAGATAATCAAATGACAAGGACAAAATTTTATAGGATATTTATATAATTAATATATTTATACAATTAATGTATTCAGAAGGAGTGTTAGAATATCTTCAGTTAGCAATTCCTGAAGCACTGACAAATCTAAGCAAGATCCTCATGGCTGCTGAAGCTTTTAGTTGAGGAGGAACATATGGATGGATCCGGATGGTAACCCCCAAACCTCCTATGATCTTACAGCAATGTCTCTTCCAATAAGACCAAATGGAAAACACTCAGTGTCTTGCCAAAACCCAGAAACCTAGGATCTGATCAAACCCCTAGATCATTCCATTAGTGGGAAGTACACAGCACTGAAGACATGTTAAAGAATGTGGTGGAGGTATGGCCAACAAAATTGAGGATCACAGCCAATTCCACAGCCTGAATAACTTGGTTTTCTTTACCAAGTTGCTGGAAAAAGAAGGAACCTCTCCACTAAAAGAAACTAAAGGAAACGCAATTGTCACTTTGTATCCTTGGTTGAGGGAATCAACTTTAAAAAAAAGAAATTTAAACAACTCAACCCTAAGGTGAATGTGTTGGGTAACCTCATTCACTATTTTGTACTTCAATGTGTAGCAAAGCCATAAAATATGTACTCTACTAAGCAAATTATAGTTTACTGATGTCCACTCTTAATTGTAAATCTAAATTTTGGAAAAGAACATTTTGTTTTGAAATATTTTCCCATAATCACAAAAATAGTGGTATAGCTGGGGCTTAATTTCTGAATTCTGAACATTTTTTCTACTTTATCATGTTCTATAATTTTTAAGGACCAAAAGTGTATGGTCAAAGGTAAACTTATATTGTTTTTATTTTTTTAAACCATATGCGTTTCCTTCATTATTATAAATTGGAGGATGGGAAGACTTACGAAGGCCAGAAGAGAAAGAAGAACCCTAACAGATTAGGTAAAATAGAAGAGAAAGGGTTAAGAAAAAGACATGGGGGTGGGTAGAAAATGAAAGAATTAAGATCTTATCCTTTCTTTTTAAAAATGTTCTTACCTATAATCTCAAAACTTGAGGTCTCATCTACATAAACCACTAAGATTATTAGTTTCTTATGTCTTTAATGTTTTTAGCTACCCTAAATACTTAATGATATTCACAGTACCCTAAGGTCATCTTGATGTAGTTCATCTTTCCATTTTTAAAGAAGAACTTAGTAATCCTAAGAAGGAATGGTGAGGAAAATATATTCACTAGCTTTTTTTTTTTTTTTTTTTTTGAGATTTGCCTTAGAAGATAGGGTTTCCACTTGTCTCATCAATAATTATCAAAGACAATCCTTTAGAGGTTTTTTTGTTTTGTTTTGCTTTTTGTACTAGGGATTAAAATCAGAGGCACTGAGTCCTGTCCCTAGCCCTTATTTTTTATTTTGAGACAGGGTTCGCTGAGTGGCTTAGGGCCTCAGTTAGTTGCTGAAGCTACTTCCATGCATCACTGAGCCTGGGTTTTACTACCACTAGCACACCATATATTTGTGTGGACCTTACATGTTATGATTGTCAAACAAATTATTTTTAAGTATTTGGGGAAATAAATCAAAACTAGAAGTTATATATTTTGGTCTTATGAAGCTAAAGGTACTGATATTCTCTTAGATATAATGAAATTTTGTGGATAATTCTTATCTTTCTGTAGCACTATTATTTTCCACTAAAAAGTCGGTGTTATTATAGATATCTTGAACACCTGATATCCACTTGTTCCCAAGGGAAAGACGTTTCTCTGATGCTCTTTGAGAAAAGATAATTTAAAAAAAATTAAAAAGGTCGGCCAAGTGTGGTGGTAAACATCTGTAATCCCAGCAGCTTGGGAGGCTGAGGCAGGGGGATCACAATTTCAAAGCCAGCCTCAGCAAAAGCGACTCAGTGAGACCCTGTTTCTAAAAAATGTGACATAGGACTGGGGATGTGGCTCAGTGAGTCCAGTTCCCAGTACTCCCCTGCACCAGAAGACCAAAAAAGGTGTCTTTGAACTGTTTAAAATGAATTCAAGTGTTTCTGAAAGTTTGAATCTCTTCTTTGATTCTTGCCAGTTGTAAGTAGACAAATTATTTACCATCTGTAACACACTTTCCACATTTAAAAAACAGAATATTTTCTTTCACTCTTACTATAAAATTACTGGACTGTGGGGGTAACGGATGGGAAACCACTTTGAAAGCTGTAAGGTGCTATAAAACTGTGTCACAATAACAAATAAACATTGATGTTTTGCCCAGAGAGAAAGAAGGAACTTCATTCAGAATTAAATAATTGGCTTCTAGCTAGCTAGCGTGCTTGGCCACCAATGACTTTTACCTCTGTAAGTCTGTAAAGTAGTTTTAGCCAGGGGGAGAGGCATTCAGCAGATATTTTTAGGAAACTCCTGCAGCTTGAGTGAAATTGCTAAAGATATGATTAGGCATGAGAATTTAAGTTTTTTGTTGTTGTTGTTTCCAGTTCCTTGCACTTCATAGGATAATCATTTATAATCAACTGAGGAAACAAACAAATTTGGGCGCCTGAGGAGCACTCTCCCAAAACTAGTTAGTATTGTCAGATTCTCATTCTTGAATCAAACTTTTACATCTTTTGTTGAAGTATCAAAAGTAAGGGAAACTTTCAGTTACTCTATTTACTGTGTGACTTACTTGTTTTCATCCCATGATACTTGGAGTCATTTTTTTTAGATGATTAAATAACATATATTGATTGTTAGAGATCTTAGAAGAGGAAATGCAATGGAAAACAACATGGCAAAATATGCAAGCTCATTGCATTAGGAAGTGTTTCAGCACTGTGGCCAAGATATCTGACAAGAGTAGCTTAGAGGAGAGCTTTGGTGCCTGGTTTTAGAGTTTCAGTCCATGGTTGGCCAGCTCCGTTGCTCCACGCCAGAGTTGAGGCAGAACATCATGATGGAAAGGTATAGTAATAGGTGCTCAGTTCGTGGCAGCCTGGAAGCGTAGAGCAAAGAGCCAGGGACAAAATATAATACACAAACACAGGCCCCCCAATGACCTACTTCCTCTAGCCATACCCCACCTGACTATAGTTACCAACCAGTTAGACCCTTCCAATTATAAATCCATCAAATGGATTAATCTACTGATGAAGTTATAGCTCTCATAATCTGATCATTTTACCTTCTACACTAACACCTGAGATATTTGTGGGACACCTCGTATCCAAAATGTAACATGCATTAAAATCAAATAATCCACCACTCCATCAATATCCTCATCTTTGGAAGGAAACAAACAGTACTGGTAAAGATGATAAAGAGTAAGAGTTTTTCTCCTGACTTGGCAGAACATGAGTCTCAGGCAAGGATGTAATGAAGTGACAAAGAGGGCTAAGGAGGCAAAGAAATCTTGGGCAGATCCAGATTTTACTTTGCCTTTTCTGATGCCTATATTAAGCAAAACTACTCCAAAAGTAATACAAACTGGATTTAACTCATGGGTCATAGTTTACCAACCCCCCTTTCTAAATTGTATTGCTGTATAAAATGTGTCATTTTAAATTATTTCTCTGGCTAAGCACGTCCAACTTTTCAGTATTAAAAATCCTTATACAAATATTACACATATGTGAGTACTTCTGTAGGAACTGAAATTGCTAGTTCAAAGGTGTGCAAATTTAATTATGTAAATGAGCTTCCAAATTCTCCTCCAAAGAGCTTCATTCACATAGGCACCAAAAAAATAGTGTGAGAGGGATGGGGCCTGGCATGCATGCCACTGAATTCAATCCTCAACACCACATAAAAATAAATAAAGGTATTGTGTCTATCTACAACTAAAAAAAAAAAAAAAAAATTAAATAGTGTGAGAATGAGTTTCCTATATCCCTGCCAACATTGTCTTACTGTTGACTCATTTTTATTTTTACAAGTATTATGTATCAAATACTATTTCCTATGTGTTTCTTTCTTTTTTTTTTTTTGCAACTACTTAATAACTAGTTGATGAAGCTTGAGAGAGCTCAGACCTCCTTACCTTCCTATTTGATTTAGAATAAGAGACAGATTCAAGAATGAAGAAGGGAAATATGCTATTGATAAAGCTGTTGGACAGTATGGCCTATGACATGGTGACAGTAGTTTTCCTAATGCTGTTTATCAGAATTAATCTTCCATATATTTATCATAAACTGAGTTGGAAAACTGCAGATTTTTTGCCGCCTGCAATCTCCTGTTGGGACACTTCTGCTTCTCT